AATTGATGTGTGTATGGATTGGGATAACAGTTGTATGAGCCCCTAATAAAATGTTAAAAATAAATAAATAAATAAAAATACAAAAAGGAAAAAAAAAATTCAGTTATTTTATAACCATTTCCCACAAACTTTTAGAACCACCTTCATAAAGTCAAGAAATATTAGAAGTCACAAAGCCGTAGAAGCTTTTATTTAATAAATATATAAAAATTTTAAGCAAATGTTTTTGGACACATCCTCCATGTAGGTCAATATACTTCTGAAGATGGAGCTTCTGTCTCCCCACCCTTCCCCCCCCACCCCAAATTCTGCATTCTTTCATTTACACTACATCAAAATGGCAGTTTGAGCATTGTCTAGGAACTTAAATTGCATTTATTTTGAATTCTTTGAATTTGAGGAACCAAAATAAATCTGAAGAGGTAAGATCAGAGATGTAGGATGGATATTAGTTTCTCAGCTAAAAATTTTAGGACAGTCCGTGCTACAATTGAAGAATAAGAAAATACATTTTGATAGGGAAAATAGAACTTCTTTCTTTTTAAGAGATAAAAATTTTATTATTTCTTTTCAGTTTTAATAATTTTATTGTAAATTATGTGGGGCTTTACATTTGAGATCGATTTGTATTCAAAAGTTTTAAACTATCAACCAACCTTTCCAATAGTTGACCTTTACCCCCACCCCTTGATTTATCTGCTCCATTTTGTAGATTACTGTCTTTTTACTTCACCAGTTAACACCTGTCAACTGTCTGGTTTATTGCTTTTATCTTTCCTTCCTTGCCGTCCATGCTCTAGCAAATTCCAAAGTCTGTGCATTCCTTTTAAAAGCTTTACTTTGTTTTGTTTTCCCCCTTATACCTCTGGTCTCATATGATCTTTGTCTTCTGTAATTGGCGAAGGTCACTCAGCAAAATACTCTCCAGGTCCATCCATACCATGAGTTGTCTCCTAGTTTCATCATTGTTTGTATTGACGCATACATCTCTTACTAGTGCCACCTCGATTGTGTCCATCTTCGTGTTATGAACCATGCTGCGACAAAATGAGTGTGTGTGTGTGTGTTTGTGTGTGTGTGTGTGTGTGTTCTGGTTATGGCTCTTACTTCCTTAGGAGATAGATATACCCAGAGGATTTTCTTAATGGTATGGAATTTCTATTCCATATTGTTTGAGGTAGCACCATATTGTTTTCCACAGTGGTTGTACATATTTACAGCTTCACCAGCAGTGTATGAGCTTCTAATTTCTCTGCCGCCTTTCCTCGTTTATTTATTTATTTTTACTTCACTATCATTGTTGATATAAGGTAGTATCTCATTTTCTTTCTGTTTCCCAGATGGGGATGGCAAACATTTCTTAATAAGTTTGTTGGGCACTGAATGTCTTTGATTAACTGTCTCTTTGTGTCCTTTCCCCACTTTTTAATTGGGTTATTTATCTTTTTCTTATTGAGGTGTTACAATTTTCTGTAGATTCTAGGCCTTTGTCCATTGTGTTATTGTCATAGAATTTACCCCCATGCTAGGTATTCTCTTTTCACTCTTTTAATGAAGTCTTTCTATGCCCTTAAGTAGCTCATGTATTTTGTCATCTACTATGTATGTTTCCTTTGATCATGTGTCTATGCTCTGCAATGGGGCCTCTAAGTTAGTTCAGACTTTCTCATTGATTATCTTTAGAGTGCTAGGATTTGCATATTTCTAGACTCTGTTCCAACTTGATATTCTTTTGTACATAAGGTGATATGTACAGATCTTTCTACAGATGGAAATCCAATTTTGTCAGCAGCATTTGTTGAAGAAACTATGACTATCCCATTTAATGTTATTTGGCCCTTTGTCCAAAACCAGTTGACTGTAGATGTCGGAATTTATTTCTGGGTTTCTATTCTGTTCTGTTGGTCTGTATCGCTATTATTTTATTAGTACCAGGATGTTTTAACTGCTGTGGCTGTGTACTAGGTTTTAGAGGCCAGGAAGTAAGATGTCTCTCACTCGTTGATCTTTTTAAAGAATGTTTGAAACTAATGCATGGGCCACAAAATTATTAGTGTCAGTTTATTTATTTATCTATTTATTTATATTTTTCCTCCTTTTGTATCTACTCAGATCAGGGTTTTGAACTGATGGGTATGCAAAATGGATTGTTCTCAAGGCTGTAGCCTTTCTCTTTGTATAATTATTTTTATTTATTTGTGGAATATAGCACATAAAAGGAAAACATATTATGCCTAGGTTAACAGACCTTCACACCATCATTACACAAAACAGTGACAGTATCCCAGTAAACCTCTCATGTATTTGACTCTTTCCTCTCATTTTGTTTTTCTTTCCATCTTCTCTACTTCCATCACGTTTCTTCTTAAGGAGTTCTTTGCTTATCTTAGGTCTCATCCTTTTCAATATAAAATTAGTCATTAGTGTTTCCATTTCTATAAAGAATGAAGTTGGGATCTGGATTGATAGTGTGTTGTATTTGTGGATTGCTTTTGGTAGTATTGACATTTTCACTATTCATAATTCTTGTCATAAACATGGAATATTGTTCCATTTCTGTAGGTCTCTTTTGGGTTGCTGGGTCTTGCTAGGCTGCAGGGTTCCCCAGGTCTTGCTTGGTGCTGAATTACATGGGCCTTAGCTATGGCTAGGAATGGGGCTGGCTGTGGTCAGTGGCATAGAGTGAGCTACAGGCAGCTGGGGAAGTAGAACAGTGAATATTGAGTGCCTTGCAAGTTTCCCTTTCCCCCCTTTCTCTCCTTAATCACACAATCTCTGGGACATGGAGGTTTCAATTAACTTGCCTTTTAAGCTGTTTTCTTTTTCTTTTTAATCATTTTATTGGGGGCTCATACAACTGTTATCACAATCCATACACACATCAATTGTATAAAGCGCATTTGTACATTCATTACACTCATCATTCTCAAAACATTTGCTCTCCACGTAAGCCCCTGGCATCAGTTCCTCATTTTTCTCCCTCCCTTCCCACTACCCACTCCCTCATGAACCCTTGATGGTTTAAAAATTATTATTTTGTCGTATTGTACACTGTCTGATGTCTCCCTTCACCCACTTTTCTGTTGTCCATCCCCCAGGGAGGAGGTTATATGTAGATCCCTGTAATTGGTTCTCCCTCTCTACCCCACCCTTCCACCACCCTTCCGGTATCGCTACTCTCACCACTGATCCTTGGAGGGAGGGAGGATCATCTGTCCTGGATTCCCTGTTTCCAGTTCCTATCTGTACCAGTGTACACCCTCTGGTTTAGCCAGATTTATAAGGTAGAATTGGGATCATGATAGTGGGTGGAGAGGAAGCATTTAGGAAGTAGAGGAAAGTTGTATGTTTCATCCTTGCTACACTGCACCCTGACTGGCTCGTCTTCTCCCCACGACCCATCCTTAAGGGCATGTCCAGTTGCCTACAGATGGGCTTTGGGTCCCCAATATGCACTCCCCCTCATTCACAATGATAAGGTTTTTTGTTCTTTTAATGCCTGATCCTTCAACACCTTGTGGTGAGATCACACAGGGTGGTGTGTGTCTTCCATGTGGGCTTTGTTGCTTCCGAGCTAGATGGCTGCTTGCTTACCTTCAAGGCATTAAGATCCTAGATGCTATATATTTTGGTAGCCGGGCACCATCAGCTTTCTTCACCACATTTGCTTATGCACCCATTT